TCTCTGTTCTCTTTCAGTATTCTTACTCCATTTGGTGTTCGGCTGAGTTCTTTATCTCTTCATTTGATGTTCTAGGGTTTCAGGATTTTTTATTCTTTGTTTGGCTTAGTTTTTTGGATCTTTGTTGTGGAGGGACGGCGTGGTGCTTCTGCCTAGAGCGCCATCTTGCTGGACTCCCAGGATTCATGGTATAATGTGGTTGACATGTTTATTATGTTGACAAATTTTTTTAAAAGCACCTTCATAGAGGCTATTTCTAAAATAGTAGTGTTAAATGTAACATGGACAAATATTTAAGGACAATTTGTGGGGACCCTGTGATATGCACAAGGCACCGTGGAGAAGCCTGGTGTCTGCTGGATAATAGCAAAACCCATTTGATGATGAAGCTGTAGGTGCAGTTACACATGACCCTGCAAGTAGATGGCTGGGATGTGAAAGAACAAGAAATAAACTAATACAACTAATAAATAAATATTAACTGCTATAGCTAGAACCATATCCCCATGAAAATAAATGAATGTAAAATAAGGTGAAATTTTATAACTACAAAACTAAATGACTCAAACGTAAATTACAAAAAAAAAGCACATGGATGGATGATTGAAATAAACAAGAAGAAATTAAACTTTTATTATTTTAAGAAGAAATATTTATAAATAAATGTAAATAAGAAAATATTAACTAAAAGGTAATAACAGTGAACACTGGGTCATCTCCACCTCCGCTCAGGCTCAGGCTTCCAGGTCCCAGGCTTCACTGGTTTCAAGCCCAGAATCTACAACACACATAGGGGTAGGAATCACCGGGGATGTACCAAGATGGATGGAGGAGGAGTGTGCTGGGGTGTGCCACGGGACTCAGCATTAGCAGTCCTTGGACCCCCTCATATTCTGAAGGGTCAGGTGCACAGGTTGAGAGGGCAGACTTCAGTATGGTGTCCATTGTCTTTTGAACTGTCCCTATGGTATTCGATGCCTTCCTTGCTTTCTGGCTGTTTCGCCGTTTCTGAGAAAAGGGCCACAATAAACTGGTCACAGGAGTGGGATCTTCCGCTGGTACTGGGCTCTTCTTTGGGGTCCTGGCAACTGGGCGGAGGGGTCAGCTTATCTTGAGGTCCTCCCCGGGGACACAGTCTACCCTTCCCCAGCTACCACTGTGATGTCTGTGTCAGGTACTGAGCTAAGTGCTTGGACGATCACCATTACCCCATTCGCTCCAGCCATTTAGAAGATCATTTAGCGTCAGCCCATTTCACAGAGGCGAAAACCGAAGCACAAAGAGGTGAGGAGACATGCCCCGGGCACAGGCTGTCTGACTCCCCCAGCCCATGCTGGGCTCTGACCACTAATGAGACCTGAGGGAGCTTGCCTCTGCCCACCTAGATCCAGGCACTCACTCGCACCAGCCCTTGAAGATGGTCAAGTCCTCTAGGTCTTCTTGCTAGACAAGTGGGTGTTGCTGGACAGCTGTGTCTGGGTCTGTAGCTCACAGGACAGGTTGTACCTACAGCACAGAGGGCAGCTGTGAAGCTACCAGGAGCCTCATGGTCTCCTACCTAGGTTCTGCCCAGAAGCTGGAGTCCAGGAGCCCCAGCTATCATCAGGGAACAAGGTCTGCCACTGACTAAGAAACGAAGTCCACAGGGTCTGTGGAGCAGTCACCAGGGAAAGCCCACCCTGCCATGGCCCAGTTCCTGCACAGGCCTCACGTCTCTGTCTCAGTGAGAGCCCCCCATGCCCTGGAACCAGGCCTCAAATTGCTCCTGGGCCACGATGGTGTAGTGCTAGCAGGCCCACTGGAGGAGTTTTATCTCCTGCAGCACACTAAACTCCTGGGAACAGAGGGAAGGACAGGAGGCTGACCCGGCCTGGGTGTGGGTGCTGTGAGGGCAGGGCTCCAGTCGCCACGTCTTTCCTCCCATGGGGTCCCTTCTTGCCTCCACTCCCATCCAGAACCCTTCCTCTTCTCAGAACTGGTTCAAAGTCTCTGCCTGCAAGCTGACCTGGGTTCCAACCCCCTAGCCCTACCCTTGTGTGGGACATGTCTCCCCTTTTCTGTGCATCAAACTCTCCCCATAAATCTAAAAGGAAGGGGGATGGAGCAAGGGAATGTCCTGTCCAGCAGGAGCTCTGATTTCTATCCCCACCCCCACAGTGTGTTCCAAAACTGCCCACCTTTCTACTCCTCCGGAAGTTT